AATAATTGAAGTTCATACAACAAATCTGACCCTCCATCTCATCTGTTCAACTACTCTTCCTGAGAAAAAAAAAAGTATAAAGGAATAATATAATTTCCCAAAGTTTCTCTATTGCTACCTACATCCTGACCTCAATAGCTGCATCTACTAATTCCTTTCTCCTGTTAATAAACCGAACAGCTTCAGCCTGATCCGAAAAGGCCATTTCAGACAAGGGTGACCCACAAATCTCCTTATACATCTCGTAATTAACAGCACGCACACGCCCACCTTCCAAAATTCTCGACAAGGGGTGCAAGATAGAAATCGGGTCTTTACCCATTTCCAATTTATCTTTCAGTTTGTGGAATTCAGACACAAATTCTGCTTTACTGAACTCGACAAAAGCCGCAGTCTCGTCCAAATGGTAGATTGTCTTGATAGAGGTCGACCCGAAAACCTTGTTAAGAATAGCTCTGATATCATTTGCTCTCAGGGTCGGCAATAAGCCCCACAGAAGAATCATATTCGAAAAGACAAAGTTGTTGCACTTGGCTTTTGAGGCAACTAGAGTTTTGGTTGCGACTTTCCCTGTTGTTAGATCAATTAGGTCCCCATTCACCCAGCTGAGGTATAAATGATTAACGTATTTTCGGAGCTTCTCGTTTTGGGGAAAATCGTGGGAATTAAAATCGACTCCTAAATTGGAGCACGCCTGTGAAAAGACGCACCCAGTCATGAAAGCGTCGTATCCCGCTTCATGCTTGGATCCCGAATTCCAATTCAAAAACCTGTGAATGGCATATTAAATATTTGGTTAATTGTGGTATTACTGGAATGGTTATAAAATCTCTTGAAGTAAATCAAGAATCTTAGCTGAACAAATGCTGGTGAAATATTGAGCTCAATTTTCCATCAACTGCTGGAAACCCCATTCATTTGGCCGGTGGCATTAAAATTTCAAACCTTTTCTGGGAAATTATAAATTTTTGGCGAGATATTTTTGCCAGGTGAAATGTATAAAAGAGGACTCAGTGACAGAAAGATCCCTTGAATTATAACCTAACTACAAAAAATGACCCAAGCTAATTTTAAAAATTCCAAAAAGTACCTTTAAATTTTCAAGTTTGATGAGCTAACTTATAGAGTAAAGACGAGAACTGGTTAGGACTAGAACTACAATTTGCTAGCTGTCATACGGGTTAGTACACAATAATTACTGTAAATTCATAATAATATCAGAACTAGGATAAACGAACCTCTGGCCATCCACTTCAACCTCAACTCTAACACGCAGTTTATCATTCAAATTAGTGCTTGTGCCGTCCTGCGCAATTGGTGGACAGAGTAAGCTGAAAGCTTTGGAAAGTGAAGTTCTGCCATTCTTCATGATACGTGATAACCCATCATCCAAATTTAGCATAACTTTAGTGTCAATTATATGTGGAAAATATGCCCGTACAGCCAAGACAAAATCCTGGGCGGTCAAAGGAAGAGGACCCACAAATTTGCCATAAACATGCACAAGATCTGGCCAAGCATCACAAAGGAAGTATCAGAAAGAAGACAAGACTACCACAAGTTACAAAAAGAAAAGCGTGAAAATGAAACTCAATAATTAAGATGTTGTTTGTACCGAGAAAACAATTATGACCAACAATCAACTTTCTCTCTGAGGAAAGCAGATCAATAACATGCCGGAACCCAATAGCAGATTTGATCTTCTTTTCCGCTTCGA